CCCCGCGGAATGCCGGGGGCCCCGCCAGCTCCCGACCTGGCTTCCCGAGCCAAAGCCATCGCCGGTGGGGGCGAGGGGAGCTGCGACGCCGCCGGCGCAGAGAGCCGAGGGCGCCCCCTCCCTGCGCGCGGGGCTGCCCTCGGTGCCCCCGAGGAGCGGGGGGCGCAGAGGCTCGTCGCAGTCGGCGTGGCCGGAGAGGGCCGGCGAGGGCCCCCGCCGTGCCCCGCGGTGCCCCGACGAGAGGCCGCCGTGCCTCGCGAAGGTGCCGTCGTCGCCGCCGCAGGTCGCGTCGGGGGCGCGCCGCCAGGGGGGCTGCTGAGCCTTCTCATGTGTGCGCCCTGCCTGCTGCTGCTCGAAGGCTTCCTTGGCTGCGGCGGCCCCAGGTCCCGCGGAGTCGGAGTCGCGGGACCTGGGGCCGACGAGGTGCCGAGGAGTCGCTGGGGGAACTTCGACCCGGGCAGGCTTGGGGGCACCGTCGCCTGCCTGTGCGCCTTTGTCTCCAGGGGCCGCGCCATCATCAGCTCGCCTCCGCTTGGCCGCCAATCGTGCTTGTTGCTTGTGGTGTTCCTCTCTCGCCTTCGCCGCCTTTGCAGCCGCGTCAGCAAAGAGAGTATCGCCCCCCTCTTAGACCCCTTCTACCAGCTGCTTGCGTCGCTCCTCGGCCTGCTCGAAATCCTCATTCTCGAGGTCTGCATCATCCCTGAGATCAAAGACGCCGCCGAAGTCAATGTCAAATCTATCCAGTTTGCGGTCGACCAAAGCAGCGGGGGAGAGCGCGGGCTGGGCAGAGGTCTCAGTTTTCGGCGCGTTAGCCAAGGAGGCCACCGAGAGAGCGATCTGATCGTAGCTGGCCTGGAGATCGTCGTACTTCTGCTTGGGGGATTCGAGTTAGCTCCAGTGCTGCTCCAAGTCTTGCTTCCATGGGTGATATCTGTCCATTGCCTTTGACAACTGTGACTCCTGGTCATTGAGGGCCCTCCGTGCTTCCGCCAATTAACTTTCGAGGGGAGGTGATGGCGGAGGGGCTCTGGCGAGCTGCTCGGCGCGATGCTGACATGCCAGCGCCGTGCCATTCTGCCCGCGCTTGCCAGCCGTGACGAATATGGCCTTCAGCTCCTGGCAGTTGAGGCTGGAGACTTCCAGGGCGGGCAGCTCGCGAGGAGGACCTTTGGCCCACTGGGAGCATGCAGTTCGCGCTGAGCAGCGCCGGGCCCTGTTGGCTTCCGGTCCCCGCAGTTCTTGCACCAGCGGTGCGACGCAGGGCTTTTTGCGCATCCGCGCCTGGGCATATCCAAACCGGGCCCGTGGATTCCCTGGCTCGTGGTGTACGAACCCAGCCCCAGCTCTCCTAAGAGTCGCCGCGAACAGCATAGGGAGGGGCCATGATGCTGGGCGAGTGCGCTCACCTGAGAACATCGTTGTAAGCTGTGTGCCCCAGTAGGAGCTCACAAACAGAGCCTCGTCTGACCTAAAGTGGCCACTTGAACGAGTTGCGAGGAAGAAGGCATGAGAGAAGGAGAAGCGTTTTTTGGGTAGGGACGAAGCTGGTGTTTGTAGTGATGTGTAGCTACGCTGTAAACTTCGCTTCAGGCTTGCTCCAAGCATCGATTACTGTACTCGGGCGGGCGGGGTATCATGGCGACGTCGACTACGGCAGACGGCGCCGACGCGGATCACGCCGATGACGATGATGGTGTCCACGTGTCGACGATGAAGGTTTTGAAAGGATTTCGACGTGCGCGCGCGGCCGACGAGCGCGAGTGGCCCGCATGGTATTATTTGACAGCGATCGTGCCCCCCCCAGCACTCACACAAGGGCGTTCGAATGATTCCGACGTGCGCGCGCGACAGGCCCGCTTTGTCGCATGTGATGAACATTCTGCAAATCTATGGTGTTCGTGAGGGTTCGGAAGAGCGCGCGCGCATACCGTTTGTGAAATACCATGTTGCCCAATCATTGTTCTGTCTATTTGTTTTCGGGACCATCGATTATGAAATCCCAACGACACCGAGATTTACTGCAGGATGTCAGCATGCGCGCGCGACGACGCGCGCTTGTCCTTTGTTGGGCATGGATTTTGCATACTGATGATGTTTGATACACGAGTGTGCGCATAATATTGTTTGACGGGGATGAGGGGGGGGAGTCGAACTGGTTTGGCTGGAATGACATGAATTCATATCTAGACTGAACGATGGGGCAGAACCATATGTTCACTGCACTATCCCAGGCGGGGAGATAATCCGGGCTGGTGATGGCAAATCTAAATTTTATTGTCTAGAAAAGAGAAGGTGCATAGTGAAAGGTAGGCTGTACAACATATGTGGTGCAATCTATTTGCGCAATCTGCGTTGTGCAGTTTATGTTGTGCAACCTATGCGGTGCAATACAGGCTGTTGCATCTATGTGGTGCAGCCCAGGTGGTGCAATACATGTTGCGCAATCTAGCTTGTGCATTCTATGTTGTGCAGTCGGTGTTGTGCAACCCATATGGTGCAAGATGTGTGGTGCGCTTCATGTGATGCAACATAGTTGCTACAACACATTTTGCAATCTACGTTCAACAGTCTACGTGGTGCAATCGTGCAATATATGTTGTGCACGGGCGGCGACGAGGCGACGGCGGGGCGCCGACGGCGGCCGCGCAGCCGCCAGACCGACAGGCAGGCCCGGGCGCGGGCGGCGACGACGCGACGACGGGGCGGCGACGGCGGCCACACTGCAGCCAGACCGACATACGGGTCGAGCTCCTCAGACAAGAAGTACGACTCCCTATCGCAAACACCGCTTGGGGAGTGTGTGTGTGTGTGCATACATATGTATATATATACACACAAGACTTGAAGCTCGCTGCGCTTCGCTTTAAAGTCTTGGTGTAGTGCATTGTCAGGGGCACAGGGGGAGGACAAGCAGACGTATTGGGCCGAGGCGCAGCTACATGTGCAGGCCAATGGGACTGCAAGAAACGGCAAAACACGTGGGGTGATGGAAACAGGGGTGCGCGTTCGACGACGGTCATCTAGAAGTGGCCCGCGGGGGCCTTTCGGCATTTGGGTTGGTTTGGGTCGACGTTGCCGTCGTCTTTGTTCGGTTTCGGAAGGGCCACATGGAACCCCAGAGACGAATCTGCCTTGTGCTTCGGAACGTGCGATGCAAAGGCTTAGCCAGGGAACTGTTCCAAAAATCTCTCCGTCATGTTTTGTCGTCCGCTGTTTGCCTCCTGGTTGAGCGTTCTGCATTGGCTGGGATGGTGTCCTTCTGCATGGTGCGCGAGACGAGTGTGCCCGTGGGCGGCGTGGGTCCAAACGACACCTTCGACGGGGCCAACGAAGTTGTGGGCAACGGCAAAGCACACCAGCTGGTGGACGACGTTCGCGCACCCAAACTGAAACGCGCGCACGAACAGGCGCGCAGGCGGGCGGGCAACCGGGGGCGAAGATGTAGCAGAGAGGTTTGTCGGAGTATTTGAAATAAGTGTCGAAGCTGATGACGTATTCCCCGTTATTTCAGCAGAACGTTTTGGACTCCGAGGTAAACAATAGTGC